ATAAAGAAAAGAGGTTTAAGGCTGGGCGCGATGGCTCATTCCTGTACTCCCAGAACTTTGGGAGGCTGAGGTGGGTGGATCACGAGGTCAAGAAATCAAGACCATCCTGGTCAACATGGTGAAACCCCGTCTCTACCAAAAATACAAAAAAATTAGCTGGGCATGGTGGCGCATGCCTGTAATTCTAGCTACTCAAAAGGCTGAGGCAGGAGAATTGCCTGAACCCAGGAGGCGGAGGTTGCGGTGAGCCAAGATCGCGCCATTGCACTCCAGCCTGGATAACGAGAGTGAAACTCCGTCTCAAAAAAAAAAAAAAAGAAAAGAGGTTTAATTGACTCACTCACAGTTCCACATGGCTGGGGAGGCCTCACAATCACAGCAGAAGGTAAAGGAGGAGCAAAGTCACATCTCCTACATGGCAGCAGGCAAAAGAGCTTGCGTAGGAAAACTCCACTTTATAAAGGGGAGTAATCCCAGCACTTTGGGTTGCCGAGCTGGATGGATCACCTGAAGTCAGGAGTTTGAGACCAGCCTGACCAATATGGTGAAATCACATCTCTACTTTAAATAAGAAAATTAACCAGGCAAAGCCGGCATCGTGCCACTGCACTCCAGACTGGGCAACCGAGCAAGACTATGTCTCAAAAAAAAAGCAAAAAAAATTAAAGTGAAATCATCAGATCTCATGAGGCTTATTCAGTGTCACAAGAACAACATGGGAAGCCCCCACCCAATTCAATTACCTCCAAATGGGTCCCTCCGAAGACACATGGAAATTATGACAGCTACAATTTAAGATTTGACTGGAGACACAGCCAAACCATGTCACAGGTTATGAAACAAATTTATTCTTGCTGGCCAGACTTGAGATGAGCTCCTTGACCATCCCAAGGAAGAGTGGTTAACAGATGCAAGTTGTTTTGTGCATCAGGAAAACAGGAGGGCTAGACATACTCTTATTAGTCAGCACAAGTTAATCAAGTCACAAGCCCTACTGGCCTCTACCTCAGCTCAAGAAGCTGAGTTAATTAAACTTTCCAGAGCCCTGCAGTTGAGAAAGTATTAAAAGTTAACATTTACACTGATTCTAAGTATGATTTTTGTGGTGCTTCATGCTTATGCTGCAATTTGGAATGGGTAGGGACTCCTGACCACAGAGGGTTTTCCATACAACATCACCCAGATTTTGAGCTTGTTAGAATGCTGCTTGGCTGTCAAAGAAAAGTGAATATAATTCATTGCAGAGGATGTCAAAAGAGAGATTGACCATGTTAAAGAAAATGCCCTTGCAGATGGGGTAGCCAAGTCACTGCACTAAAAGGGCCAATGAAGCTGATGGGCATGCTGGTCAGCATACCCAGAGCTGAGCCAGAATGCTTCAAAGAAGAAGAAAAATGGGCCAAGGAATGCAGTTTAGCCCAACACTCCTCTGGCTGGCTGACTCGTGGTAATACATTACTAATGCCAGGTACCAATCATAAGAAAATAATTAAGCACTTACATGATTTTTTTCACCCTAGAAAGGATTGTTTCAGTTAATGTCTCATTGGTTTATGACAATAAATCTTTTCAAGACACTGAAACAGGTGACCCTGCCCTGAGCTCTGTGCCTGAAATAACCCAAACAGCCAGCAATTTTCTCCTCTAGTTTAACATGTCTGACATTGAGAGTCCTTTCCAGGTGAGGACTAAGAACTCTAATTTACTCAGATGCCTTTGTGTAGGACATTCAAGTATTTGCTAATACTTACTGATACCTTCACTGGTTAGATCAAGGCATTCCCCATGCTATCTGAATAATGTTCACCAGAAGATATTATTCCTCAGTTTGGATCATCTAAAAGTCGTCTGCAAAGTGACAATGACCCATCTTTTACATCAGGCATATCCCAACACGTATCCTCAGCTTTAGGAATCAAATATCATTTTTGGTCTGTGTGGAGACTGTAGTCCTCTGGAAACATGGAAGAACTAAACATACTCTAAAGAAGTCTCTAACAAAATCAGAGGGCTGACTACCCCTAACACCCATAGCTTACCATGGGTTTGAGCTGCTCCAAAGGAAAACTTATACTTAAGTCCTGTTGAGTTGGCATACAGAAAGACTTTCCTAACCACAGATCTCCTAAGAGATGAAAAAACTCATCTCATCAATCACAAAAATATGTCATCAATCTAGGACAAGTGGAAAGGCACTCTGCGAATATGGAAACAAAAGGCTTCCCCTCTCCCACGGGAAGAAAATTCAGTTTTAGCTCAGCTAGGGATTTGGTCTTACTGAAGACATGGGAAGAAGTTCTCCAGTTGACCAGCTTTCCCCAATTTGGAAAGAACCGCAGCAAGGCCACCTCACCTGATCTCTCCAATAGATGTTAAACCCCAAGGGATTCACCTTTGGAAAAGTAAAGCTGTTTCTTATTCTGAGAGCCCAATCCAAGGCTGCAGGAGGTGGGCGCAGGACTGCGGGCCCTAAGCATTGGTGGACTGCAGGCTGAATCATTGTGTGACTGCTTCTCCTTTTCACGTTTCTTCTTCTGCCCATAATCCCGACTTGGCCATAAGGGAATTCATGCTCACCCAACCCGGACACTGCAAGAACCATATTGGCACAAAGGTTGGCAGCCAGGGGTCTAATCTAAGGGCACAGCTAGGGTCTGCGGGGTGGCCGATGAAGATGTTGGCAGTGGAAGGGGTGGCCCCTCTGCATTGCGGTCCCTGGGCTTCCTGCCCAGGATGCGGTGGAGCTGTGTGGCTAGCAAGACTGCCAGGTCAAACCTCAAGGGACTTAGTGGCCTGAGGGTGGGGGTGGAAGTGGGAGAGGGACTAGAGCAGCTCCAACTCCCCAAGCTCTGTGACTCAGCCCTGGCCTGTCTGGCCTGTCGCATCTCTTGCAGTTCTGGGAGGTGATATCTGATGAACATGGCATCACCTCCACTGACACCTACTGTGGGGAGAGTGACCTGCAGCTGGAGCGCATCAATGTGTACCACAACAAGGCCAGTGGTGAGACTCCAGTCTTGCCCCAATAGCTCTCCTGGGAACGAATGCCTTCCCATTCCCTTCAGGTGGCAGGTACGTGGCTCACGCTGTGCTCGTGGATCTGGAGCCAGGAACCATGGACTCCATGACCTCGGGGTCCTTCAGGCAGATCTTTAGGCCAGACAACTTTATCTCAGGTGAGCTGTGGATGAGGACTGGGATGTGGCTCCTTAGCCAGGGCAGTTCAAAGTCAATGAGGGCCTCAAGGTTATCTCTGTGGGAACTGTGGAACCAAGGCCCCTGAACACCCTCCCATCCTCTGAGTCACTCAGTCTCCCTTTCCTAAATGGGCTTTGCTGGAGGAAGGCCAAGCTCTCTTCTCAACTTGAGGAGCTGATGTAATCTTCCTGCAAGGAGCTTATATGGGGCCATGACTACAGCCTTCTTATTGCCTGGGAATGGGCAGGAGCCACCTGCAGTGAGTCTGCTGTTAGCTGTCTTGGGATTGGCTCCTGATCTATATTCTAACAAGCAAGGCTGCTGTCCTGTAACTTAGGAGGAGGGGATTTTATTTGCTCCACATGCAGGGTGAATCGTGATTTTACCTCACATGTGACACTTGGACCTTTTTGCATTGTGGTGGTGACCACCATTTACCTGGCCATCAAGTGACTGGCAGTACTACCTTACAGGTCAGTGTGGGGCTGGTAACAACTGGGCCAATGGGTACTACATTGGAAGGCTTGGAGCTGATGGAGTCGGTGGTGGATGTTGTGAGAAGAGAGGCTGAGAGCTGTGATTGCCTACACGGTTTCTAGCTGACCCACTCCCTGGGTGGGGGGACTGGGTCTGGGATGGGTACACTTCTGATGGGTGATGGGTGAAATTTGGGAGGAGTACCCAGATGGAATCATAAACACATTCAGTGTCCTGCCCTCGCCCGGGTTGTCAGAACCCATGGTGGAGCCCTACAATGCCACCCTTTCCATCAACCAGCTCAAAAAAATGCAGATGAGACGTTCTGCATCGATAATGAAGTGCTCCATAACATCTGTCCCAGAACCTTAAAACTGACCACATCCACCTACGGTGACCTGAATCACCTGGTGTCTGCTACCATGAGTGGGGTCACCACGTACTTGCACTTCCCGGGCCAGCTGAATGCGAACATGCTTCCATTTCCTGGGCTTCACTTCTTTATGCCTGGCTTTGCCTCACTGACCAGCCAGCAGTACTGGGCCCTGACCGTGGCTGAGCTCACTCAGCAGCTGTTCGAGGCTAAGAATATGATGGCCACCTGTGACCCCCGACATGGCTGCTACCTAACCATGGCTGCCATTTTCAGAGGTCACATGTCCATGAGGGAGGTGAATAAGCAAATGCTCAATATCCAGGACAAGAACAGCAGCTACTTTGCTCCCTCACAAAAGAAAAGAGCCATCTGTGACATTCCACCCCAGGAACTAAAAATGTCGGCCGCCCTCATCGGTAACAACACAGCGGTCCAGGAGCTCTTCAAATGCGATGCCGAACAGTTTACAGCTATGTTCAGGCACAAGGCCTTCCTGCACTGGTACACGAGTGAGGGCAAGGGTGAGATGGAGTTCACCGAGGCCGAGAGCAACCTTAATGACCTGGTGTCAGAATATCAGTAATACCAAGATGCCACGGCTAAGGAGGAATTGTTTAAGGCGTGTGCTCAGGAGGAGGTAGCCTAGAAGCTTCCTTTTCCAGGTAAAGAGAGAAGTAGTGTGGATTCTTTAGTGTATTTTGACAGCCATTGTTACTTCTTTGTACCTCTTTGACTCTTTACATCTCCTCCTGCTACATTTTAAAGAATTTTTATAGTGTGTAGTTTGGCCTAATAAAGTATTTTTAGACACTTGGTTTCACCTCCACTTCTTTCTATAGGCTCCTGGGTACTGCTTCCAGATGGGCATAGTGGTCTTGCAAGGCTGCAGCTGTCTTGGGCTTGTCACATCCCAGAAACAAGCAGTCCAGTGGCTCCTGGAGGGGTCGGCATGGGCTGTGGACATGGCAGGCAGGCTTCACACAAACTTGGGGCTGGCCTGGGCCTTGGGCAGCTACTTGGTGGGATACCTGTTTCTGAAGGGAAGCCTCCGTTTATCCTATTTACGAAACTTCCAGGAGACCAGCTGGGCCTGTTTGTGGAATTTTATAAGTGTTCAGTGACCCCGGTGTATAATGTCCCCAGTGTATCAACTCAGGGTAGGAATGTGCTTGGACAGTTGGCCCTGAACCAGCAATAAAGGGTAGGCAAGCAGGGCCCCAGCCACCCCATACTATAATGGCCTGGGTGTGTCTGTACGGCCTCACTCTCTTAATGAGGTGGGCATGGGTATCTGGCAGGAGGCAGGAATTGAGCCCACCATGTACTCACATGCAGTGAACCCCATAAATAAGGGGATTCAGTTGTGAAGGCCATAGATAAAGTTGCTGGCCTGCATGCTTGGGGTAGTCTCAGTCCAAAGGCACAGATGGGGTTTCTGAACAGAACCTGGGGAGACAGGCAGGTGCTCACAAGTGCTGTTTCCCTCAACTGGCAACCAGTGAGAATGACCTAGTGGGGGTCTAATCTGTCCCTGTCTGGAGGACTGATGTTCTCTGGAAAGTTGGCTAATGGGCACTGTCTCCTGTCTGCCTGACTCCCACTCCAAAACCTCAGGGTAAAAATAATCTAAGATTGTCAGGATGAGACTGGTGAGGGTGACACCCTTGGGGATGGGTCTTTTAGCCCAGGACCCTAGCCTGGCAGAGTCTCCTCCAGAGGCTTGTTAGGGAGCCTGGACTTCAAGGGCTGCTACAGGGAAGCTGTTAAATAAGAGATGTGTGTGTGAGCTGGGTGCTGGGCAGCAAGCATGCCAGGACAATGCTCTTCTACCTGGCTCTTGTAGAACTTGTCCATGGCCTATGTGATGACCTCTTGGTAATTCCCCTCCCCCATATCACACAGACAAGATAAAGCAAGCATAGCCTGGGGCGGGCAGATGTACATGTTCCACCCCAGTTTCCCTGGGCATACTCACTGGCCTCAGATGTGTCAGGGAAAACAGGTGATGCTCCTCTGTTTCTGAGTGTTGACAATGGGCCATTGGGGGCAAAGGAGAACTGGCAAGGAGGACAGTGCCTATTCTTGAAAGAAGTGGTTCCTGGAAGCAGCAAAGGTGGAAAAGGTCCCTCAGACTCCCCCAAGCTGTTCTTGAGAAGGAAAATGGGCCTCTCTGACAGTGCTCCTCAGTGGCTCTCATTCTCTGAAAGGTGTCCTTGCCCAGCCCAGCCCAGGTGCACACCCTGAGATGACCTTGCAAAAATACTTGTTACTCCTTTGTACTTTTTGAGTCTTTCCATCTCTTTCTGCTATCTGCTACATTTTAAGGCATTTTTATAGTGTGTAGTTTTGCCTAATACTCTTATGGCAAAAAAAGGGTGAGACCTTTATAGTGTGTAGTTTGGCCTAATAAAACATCTTTATGGCAAAAAAAATGAATAAAATAAAAAGAGGTGGAATCTTTGTGATTCCTGGCACATTACTTTCATTGTGTGGAAGTTTGTTTTAAGCTCTTCTAAAGTGAGCGTATTCCAGTTTTGTCCTGAGTTTTAAGGTTTTGGTCTTAACTAGAACAAGCATTTTTTGTTTGTTTGTTTGTTTGTTTGTTTTCTAGATTTGAAGGATTTTTAAAAATTTAAATCTAAATTGTTTGTACAGGTGGTTTTGGTCACATGGATAAGTTCTTTGGTGGTGATTTCTGAGATTTTAGGGCAGCCATCACCCAAGCAGTGTACACTGTTCTCAATCTGTGGTCTTTTATCCTTCCCTCAATCCTCTTCCAGCCTTCCTCCCTGAGTCCCTAATGTCCGTTATATCATCATTCTTATGCCTTTGCATCCTCTTACCTTAGCTCCTACTTACAAGTGAGAACATATGACACTTGGTTTGCCATTCCTGAGTTACCTTACTTGGAATAATGGTTCCAGCTCCATTCAAGTTGCTGCAAAATACATTATAACATTCTTTTTTGTGGCTGAGTAGTACTCCATGGTGTATATATACCACATTACCACATTTTCTTTATTGACTCTTTGTTTGATGGGCACTTAGGTTAATTCTATATCTTTGTAATTGAGAATTAGCCTGGTGTTTTCTATTATGTATTTGAACTATAGCTATAAAATAGTGAACTTGTCCTTATTGTGTGACTTTTTTGAAGCTTCAGTGAAGAGTCTGAGTCCTTCTAACTAAGTCCCTGTAACTTAGTGAGGCTTTTCCTTTTAATCGTACTGTCAGCCACACATAGAAGTATTACTTTTCATGCAGCAAGCCTCCTCAGCATCAGGCTCACAGCTGAGCTCCTGGCACTCTCTTCTCATACCATGCACTTTTATCTTTGAACAATCATCTTCTCTAAAAATCACCTGTTTGCCAACCTCTATTCTTTCCCTCTGCTTTATCTTTTTCTTCCTATTTGTTGTCTCTACCTTATTACATTTTGTGTACAACATTACATTATGTTACGTTACTATGATCTCTTCTCTAGAAAAATAAGGAACAGCAGCACACGAACTTAGTTTTTTCCTCATTGCTGTATTTCCAGCGCCTGGAACAGTTCTTGGCACTCAGTAAGAATTCAGTATCTGTGGAGAGAACAAATAGATTATTACAAAAAGTTTCAGCATTATTATTTTTATCCTCATTGAATAGACAGCAAAACCAATGACTGGAAACATATGCCAAGTCATAGAAGAGGTGGTAGATCTGAATTAAAATTCAGTGTTCTAGGCCGGGCACGGTGGCTCAAGCCTGTAATCCCAGCACTTTGGGAGGCCAAGGTGGGTGGATCACGAGGTCAAGAGATCGAGACCATCCTCAACATGGTGAAACCTTGTCTCTACTAAAAATACAAAAATTAGCTGGGCATGGTGGCATGTGCCTGTAATCCCAGCTACTCGGGAGGCTGAGGCAGGAGAATTGCCTGAACCCAGGAGGCGGAGGTTGCGGTGAGCCGAGATCGCGCCATTGCACTCCAGCCTGGGTAACAAGAGCGAATCTCCATCTCAAAAAAAAAAAGGGGCGGGGGTTTCTGTAATGTTTGTACACAAAGAGGTCATTTCTAAGTAAGCCCTCGGGTTGTAGATGTTCTGGGTAGGTGACTTATGAGTTACTCACTCGAAAACGCTGAACACTAGTTCCCTATCAAACTAGTGTCTAGGGGAACAATATTAAGATTCTAAGTGGAAAATGTTGACATTTCATATGCTTCCCTGCTTCTTTTCTATCAGTTTCAGGGGCTGAATTTTTCAGCTTTAGTAAAGCAATAATTTGTGGACGTGTTAGTATAATTTTTCTTTGGAGTTGAGACTAAAATGCTGTATCACATAGAGCTGCATTATGTGGCAGTAATGAAAATGCGGAACACCATTTCTTTTCACAAATCAATTATTCCGTCTTTACAGTCCATGGGAATTACTGCTGAATAGGCCTTTCATTTTCCAGTTTTGGATTTTATATACTTAGAAGAGTATTTTCAGTTAAAAAAAAGTTTTGGTTTTTACAAATCTTAAAGAACTCACTCTCTGAGATAACTGAGAAAAAGATGGCATTTTTTTTTTCTTTTTCTTTCTTTTTTTTTTTTTTTTTTTTTTGAGACGGAGTTTTGCTCTTGTTACCCAGGCTGAAGTGCAATGGCGCGATCTCGGCTCACCGCAACCTCCGCCTCCTGGGTTCAGGCAATTCTCCTGCCTCAGCCTCCTGAGTAGTTGGGATTACAGGCACGTGCCACCATGCCCAGCTAATTTTTTGTATTTTTAGTAGAGACGGGGTTTCACCATGTTGACCAGGATGGTCTCGATCTGTTGACCTCGTGATCCCGCCTCGGCCTCCCAAAGTGCTGGGATTACAGGCTTGAGCCACCGTGCCCGGCTGGCATTTTTATTGACAGATCAAGCATTACGATATCGTGACTGAAGTAGCTATGACTCAGTATCTCAGTAACTATTTACACGTGTTATATATACTATGGCTAGCACAGCGTAGAAAATGTATATTTGCCTAGGGTCAGAAAGATGAATCTATGTTTCAATTTTGTCCTTGTTGGCTGGAGGAACTTGAATAATTCACTTGGTATTGTAGGAATTGTTCCCAGGACACAGATTCTAAGACAGATGTTGGTGTTCAGGTGTTTTTTAGGGAGCACTTCGGGATGAGCAGCTGTGGAAGGGAGAGGAATGAAGGAGGATTGGGCAAAGGAGCAGTTGAGCTGAGATGTACCTGATAGCCTCAACTACCCCACTGCAGCTCCGGAGTGAGAATGTTCCTGCAGATTTCTCCTTCGTTGGACCTTTATACCTCTTACTCTGTCACTGGATACAAACTGGGAGGGTGTGACCTCAGGAAGACAAATGTTTGCATCTTAGTCTGTCTGTCTCTCTTTCTTTCTTTGTTTCTTTCCTTCTTTCCTCATTCCTCTCTCCCTCCTTCCTTTCCTTCCTTCCTTCCTTTCCTTTCTTCCTTCCTTTCTTCCTTCCTTCCTTTTCTTTCCTTCCTTCCTTCCTTTCTTCCATTTCTTCCTCCTTCCCTCCCTCCCTCTATTCCTTCCTCTCTTTCTTCTCTTTTTTTTCTCTCTTTCTTTCTTTTTGAGACAGGGTCTCCCTCTGTCACCCAGGCTGGAGTACAGTCATACAATTTCAGCTCAATGCAACCTCCACCTTCTGGGTTCAGGTGATTCTCATGCCTCAGCCTTTTGAGTAGCTGGGATTGCAGGTGCCCACATCTGGTAATTTTTGTGTTTTTAATAGACACGGGGCTTCACCAGGTTTGTCAGGCTGGCCTTGAACTCCTGACCTCAAGTGATTCACCCGTCTTGGCCTCCCACAGTGCTGGGATTACAGGTGTGAGCCACCATGCCTGGCCTTCACATGAGGCTAATTTCTGAAGAGACCCACAGCTGAACATTGCTCACTGACAAGTTCCCTCTGAAGCCGGGCGAGTCCTTTTCTCACAGTGGACCCAGGGGGGAAATAGCTGTCCATCCCACTTGACTTCTGTGAGCTTCAGTTTTCTTATAAATACTGTATGAAGACTGAATGCAATGCCTGTAATACACAGAGCCTAGTGCTTAGAACTTCAATAACTCACAAAAATCACTATGATTATGATTATTACTCAAAAGGTAGCAGTTGGGACAGGTACTTTCACAGTATCTGTTCAGACA